TAAACTTAATAGTGATTAAATTTGTATTTTAAAAATTGCCAGTTTTTAATTTTAATATTAAATTTTATCATGTAAATTTATAATTATTAGTTAGTATAAATTAATTTTAATATTACACGTATTTAAAGATCTGAATAGCTATTATAACATAATTTCGTTGTCAAGCTTTTGAATCTTTCTATACTTCGTTTTTGATTGGTTATTCTAGCTTTTGTAACAATGTTTCCCCCTAGTGTAGGATCGTTAATTATTCTGAAACTTTTAAAACCATTTATTTTCTTTTCAACATCATCACTTGATAAGACACAGAGTGTGTTGAAACAAAATGGCTATTTTTGTAGTGATTTTATAACATACTTATGTTATAATTTTTTTAAAAAATTATATATATATATATATATATATATATATATATATATATATATATATATATATATATATATAAAATATATTCACATATCCACACATACACATATTCATCTATATTCATATACACACACTTTTCACATACAAATACACGTATACATATACCCCATGCATATATTCATACATACTTATACATACACATACACATACATATACATATACATACACATACATATATATACCTATATATATATATATACATATATATCCATATATATATATACATATACCAGCATACACACACACACACACACACATATATACACACATACATACATATACACACATACATACATATACACACACATACACACATATACACACATATACACAATACATACACACCTTTACATACATACACATTTTACACATGTATATATATACACATGCAAATACATACACCCCTTACACATGTATATATACACACATAAACACACCTAAACATGTATATACATAAGTACACATACACACCTATACATATACATACATAAACGCCTCCATACGTACATATATACACACTTACATACATACACACATATACACATACATACATATACATACAAATGTACACACATATATATATATATATATACACATACATACATATAAACAGACACAGAGATATACACATATGTACATATATATAAAAAAGTTAAAACCCAAATAAGTGACGATTCAAATATTTGCGCGTGTATGAAACAAAAAAAAATTTTTATATATATATATATATATATATATATATATATATATATATATATATATATATATACATACATACATGCATATACATACACATACACATACACACATACATACATGCACACACATACACAAACATACACATATATATATATATATATATATATAAATACATAGCGCATCACATAAACGTGCACAAAGATACATTTAGAGATAAACATAATAGTCATACAATTAAAATTTCATGCCCGATGTTATAGGACCGAGATGGAGCCGACATAAGTGACAACCTGTTACAAAACGGTGTTCAAGTTTGGAAACGTTTCTTATGTCTACATTTAGAGAATATCTCATTCCGAAGATTCAGCAGCTCATCTCGATTTTTATCTTTGATAATGAAGATTTTTTCCGCCATGCATATATCACACCGATCGCGGAAGTTATTAGGTGTTCTGGCTCTAGATAGGAAACTCCATTTCAAAATTGGGTTTAATCCCTTATCCACCAGTTCCCAGTAGTGTTTGGATAAGGAAGTCTGTCTACTGAGGCATCTATATCTAAATGAGCGTCTATGGTTGTATAGACGCTGCTTCCAATCACCGGCGGATATACCTATGTATCTTTTTTTCTCGTTTATATTTCCCTCGGAAAAGATAGTTGCCTCGTATACTACATTTTCAGATTTGCATTTACCCCCGATTGGACAATGGTCTTTATTCCTACAATTGCAGGTAGGGTTACTAGATTGAGTTCCATTACCGTGGTAGTTTCTAAGTATTCTGCAATTATGGGAAGATATGATTTTCTCTATATTTCTAACGTATGAGTAACTAATTTTTAGAGTTTTCCTATTGAAAATTTTACGTAGTGGATGCTTACTGTGGAAATGTTTATCAATTAATTTCAGAAAGAAACTTCCTATATCAATGTTAGAGAGTCTGCAATATGGTGGGTTGAACCATATTACCTTCCTTTTCCTGTTCTTGGTTTTGCTCTTATTCTGATTTACAAGTTCTCCATTAAAGCTTAATTCTTGTCTAAAACCACTATTTTTTAAGGCCTGATTGTATATAAATTTATTATCATTAAATATTTTCTGGCTAGAAGATAGCTTATTTATTCTCGTATTCACAGTTTTGGGGATGTGATCTACCACATGTTTAGGGTGGTTAGAGTGGACGTTGATGTATAGGGGTGTTTGATCAACTTTATGGAAGGGTTTAAAGGTATTATTCGATAGATTGAGTGTAATATCTAAAAAGTTGACTATTTTCAGGTTGGAAGATATTTCAATTTTAAGGTCTAAGTATTTGAAGGCCCTAATAATCTTCTTATGTAAGCTGGAAGTTAAGGGACCATTGCTATTTGGGACAATGATTAAGGCACTAAGTGTTGACTTCTATGTTCACTTTTATATTTACACACGCTCTATCTCTGATATTGAGCACTTTATCCCATAAATATAGCACACCTTAAGACTATATTTCTTTATATATATATATATATATATATATATATATATTACGACGTCGATTTTACTTTTTTTCAACCACAAATCTCCATGACTTTCTCTCATACATTCAGATCTGCTAAATCGGTAAAAGCACATCAGGCTATATGACGGTTCCGTATAGTATACAAGTTCGATTCCTGTCGGAGGACGCATATTTTCTATGAAAATTTCTCGGACATTGAGGCCGGTAAATGTTGTTTTATGCTGTTTATTATAAACAGAGCATTTACTTAAATATTGTATCTATAAAAAGAACGTAAAAATGTCTTAAAATAATTGTCGGACTTTGTCCATTTCATACTGTATGGCAAAGAATATTGAACAATTTCTTAACAGAGGAAGAGCAACATTGAAGGCACATAGATCTCGTTCACCCTATGAATGCGAAGAATACCATAAACAGAGCACGTGAGTAACGAGGAAGTTTTAAGGTGAATATTAATCGAGGAAAAAAAACAGAAAGTGAGAAATCATTTTTGGAGCACATGAGGAAATAGGGTTAGAGATTGGTAAAATTTGTAATCCTTTTTCCTCATTATGTGGCCAAATATTATCTCTGCGTATTGAAGGCAAGTGAAGGCTGAAACAAATAACCTGGGCGATTTTCTTTTTATGTGTCATGTCCTTTCAGGACGTAGGCGATCATGGATCTCCCTCTCCTCCTATCCCTTGCAGCTCTCAGCAAGTTCCTTCCCCCTGTTTCCTCCCGCAGACCACGTTTTGTCATCCACCTGCTTCACTTCGTCCGGTATATCACGCACTGCTTTCCCTTGTCTATCTTTCCCTCTATTCGACCTGTGAGTATCAGATTCTCCAGGCCCTCCTTTCACATTATATGTTCCAGAAACTTCAGCTGCCTCTTTCTGATGTTAAGTATAGGCTTCTCCTTGTTTGCAACATCTCTAAGACCTCATCGTTGATCACATGCTCGGTCCATGATATCCTTAGCATCATTGCGTAGAACCACATAAGGCTACTCGTAATTAGTGGATAGGAAAACAATTACTAAGAAACATTTTGTTGGTAAATCTCTAGAATTCCTTAGGGGGACACGGCTCCACAGTGTTGATGGTAATAATAGCCATTTCCCTATAAGCAAACGTTTGGCATTCAGTATCTGTCTATATTTCTGAGATGAGGTATTATGTACATTACTTACATTATTCGGGCTATTCTCCCCATCCTTGTCGCCATATTTATTACAATGTTTCGGCCACTGCACGTTTCGGCCTTCTTCAGGTGGTTGGAATGTCGAACTCAACCCGTTATTTCGCTCACTGGGGTAGGCTGTTCTAGTTCCACGTGCCATGTTAAATGGATATCAGTTACCTCCTGTTAATTTCCCTCTGAAAGTTCTCCACTGCCTTAACCAGGTATTGAACTCACACTCTTTGGGTCCTGTCACTGTTAACCACTGTGCCATGTGTTCTCAAGGATACAAGACACAGTGGATAAAGGCGTTGATTAGATCCAGCGAAATAAAGGGTTGTGTTTTCGGTTGATATATAAAAAGATGTCTATAGTTCTGAGATGAGATATTATGTACACTATGTACATTATTCGGACTATTGTTCTCATCTTTGTCGCCATATTTATCACAACGTTTCAGCCGTTGTACGTTCCAGCCTTCTTCATTTGGTTGGAAAGTCGAACTGAACACTTTATATCGCTCGCTGGGGTAGACTGTTCTAGTTCCACGTGCCATGTCTAATGGATGTCACTTATCAGTTATCAGTTATTAGGCGTTGGTTAGATCCAGTGACAGTGTGTGTTCATTACTTCTTTAAGGCAGTGAAGAACTTGGAGAGGGGAATTAACAGGAGATAACTGATGGCAACAAAGATGAGGAAAAATAGTCCGAATAATATAAATAGTGTATATAAAAAGCTTTCTCTTAATTTTTCAGGAACACAGGTTTTCTCAAGTCCAGTAGCTGCTATCGAAGTTCCCAGTACCGAAGTAGTGTTCCTTCTGACTATCTATTTAATGTTGTGTGGAATGTTAACATCTTAACTCATTATTTTCTCTTCGAGTTAAATGTTATTCATTTTGATTGTTGCTGCTGTTGGTAGTCTTCAAATGACGCGGTTTATCTTATTTCTTACAGTTCTTTTCTTGTTATTCTAAGTCTTCTTTTTATTTTCTTTAAAACTTCCTGACCATGTTCCGTACATAGGATTCTCAGCATCCTTCTGTGGAACCAAATCTCCAATGCCTAACGTGTAATGTTTACAAGGAAACGTTCGGTTTTCATTGACCTAGCAGTCAATTTTTGCTCTGTTTAAATTAATAAAATCTTCATCTTAAAACAATTTTAGGGAAACAGGTTTCTCAAGTCCACTAGCTTTTATCTCTCTTGGTTTCAGAAGAGAAAGAGAGTCAAAAGGAAAGTAAAAAGGAGAAGGAAAGGAAAAAAAAGGAAAGGAAAAAGGATAAATTGAATAAAAAGAGAGCGGAAAAGAAATAAATAAATGAGTGAAACGATGAAGTGATGAAAGGAAGAAAAGAAATAACGAATAAAAGAAGTAAATAAAGAAACAGATTTTGCGAAATGAAGAGATAACGACTTATTATTATTATTATTATTATTATTATTATATACAAAAGCGGCTTAGAGTTTAATCCCACAAGATTCATGAAATAAATAAAGAACACAAATAAAAGAAATAAAGATGGAAGATAAGTAAAAATGTCGAGCAAAAGAACACAAAAGAGAGAAAGTAAGAAGAGATGAGATATAATGAAAAAAAAGAAATACAAAGACGACATAATGAAAAGCAGAGGAATGTAAAGAAACGAAAAGAAATGAGAAAGACAACTTAAAGAAACAAACTCAATTTAAAGCAAAAAAGTAAACTTAAAGAAAGAAAGAAATAAAGACGAACAGAAAGAAAGAAAAACGGGCAAAAAGAAAGATCGAAGAAAAGTAAAATGGAATGAAATTAAGATGATTGTATAAAAAGAAAAAAAAATAAAGAACGAAAAATTAAAATGAACAATTTCTCAGAAAGATAAAAAGAAAAACAATACAAAATAATGGTAGGCATATCTCAATCGAAAGAAACTGATAAAGAGTGTAAGAATAAAAAAATATAATAACTTGACAATTTAACACAAAAAACAACTACGAAGATTTTCAAATGGAAATGAGATAATGGACATTTGTGCTGCTGATTGCTGTTAAATCTTTTTCGTTTCTTTATAGAAAAAAGATAAAAAGAAAAGTGTTCAACGTACACCTAACTAAAAAGGCAAATGTCGGAAAATTCGATTGTATCGTTCGGTGTAATCAGTAAAATTTCGACTTTTGACTGAAAAAATGGTTGAGAATAAATCATAAACTCTTGAAAGAAAATGAGTCGCAGAAGTTTGGCTAGAACTCTTACTATTAGAAAATAAATGAAGTAAAATATAAAATTAAATTCAGTACATAACATATGCAACAGAAAGTCGAATGAACAAATGAAGCGATTCTATTGTTGAAGTTAAATTTCTTGTTTTGCATGTTTTATTTTCGAATTTCGTTCATCAAAATAAAAACACTTCCTCAAATACCTGCATTCTCGCAATCACTGATTTGCAAGATTTTAACTATTTTTATGATAACTACTAAGGGTGCAGCCAATTCTTTTAACATCAAAGTACATCGATATACAATCATACAGACGCACACACAGGACTATGCTTTTTATATATATATATATATATTATATATATATATATATATATATATATATATATATATATATATATGTGTGTGTGTGTTTGTACGTGTATATATATATATATATATATATATATATATATATATATATATATATATATATATATACACTACATTTTGTATTCAAAAATAATAATAGTCAAAATTACAATAATTATCTTTATATATGAATTCATATACTGAAAATTTCACGACTCAACTCGTTTTCCAAAAGGAGAATTGAAATAAAGAATGAGGAATAAGAAGCTTATATCGAAAGTATTTGATTGTGTTGAATTGAGAAACGATTATCTGCAGTTGTATGTAAGTTTCAGACCTCAATTTCTTTTTATTCTTGGTGAGACCGACAAATATTTAGTAAAGTTCTCTATGGTAATAGTAAAGGTCAGGAATAACGGTTTCATAAAGGAAATATTCTACAGTGATGGAAAATCCATTGACACCCTAGTTTGGAGTGAAATCATTCTCTTAAAACAGTTTAGTTTTAATCATTTCCAACTCCAACCAAGGCGATAATGTGTCTTGAATGTTGGGTTATGCATGGAGTGAAAGTGAATCAGAACACATTATTGAGAAAAAATATGAAAAGAGAATTTAGGAAGACCGAAAAAGGAAATTGATGCTTGATTTAAAATTTTGAAGATCAGTAGTTTGCAAAGAAGCATGAAATAGCAATAGCGTTCCACAGGTGATAAGTACAAGAAAAGAAAATGTTATAATAGAATTGACGTTTGTATCTCGCAAGTCTAAAAATAAAACGATGAGACATAGTTGTCAATCTAATAGCACACTTGAATTCATGCAGGCACTAAATACAGTTCATATTTGATAAAATGTCTGATTGAAGACACGTCACGTTGGTGGAATTTGATAAAAGTTGAGATGCCAGGTCAGGAGCGATTATATTACAGACACTTCCTTGACTCATTTCAAGAATATTGAGTTCTAAAGTAGCAACACCAGACAAGTTATAGAAGAAGAATTCAATGCGCGGACGAATGGTAAAATTATAAATGTGCAAGAAGAATTCTGACGAGAATTGGCAGGCATGACACGACCAACCAAATTCCAGGCAGTAGAACTAGTAATTGATTTAATGTAATGACTCTACTTCATGTCTGTTCGACTAGGACGGCACAAAATTTTGCTCACCTGGGATTTGCCATCAGCCATGCTAATAGTAGGAAGAAATAATTCCTATGTTGATGAAATGAAACCAGTTTTGCTTTTGAGGCGTTAAAATTTACGAACCATTTCCTAACCCAGTTAATCATGGATTGAAGATTCTTTTTGATAGCAGATGCTAGTCTTATATTGTCGGATCTGTGGGACCTGTCAAGGCGGTAGTAAATAGTTGTAGCATCTGCACAGATACCAAGCAACTGATAACATCGGGAAGGTTGTTGATGAAGATCAGAAACAGCCTATGTCCGTGGATTGAGCCTTGACGGCACACGCATTAATATGAAATAAATTAGAAGTGTTTTCGTTCAGCACAAACTTCATTATACGATTTGTTAGGAATTATTAAATTTGACAAACATTTGTCCACAGACAGCGTAGCCTTCGAGCATTTGAAAAAGGCCACCATGACAAACTCTGTCTAAAGCCGTAGGCGATATCATGGAAAATGCCAGAGATAGAGACTATGGAAATATAAAGGTGGACACTGAGATTACCAACAAGCGGCGACAGATGCTTTTAGGCTTCAAAACACCAGCGTGAAACAGTCGCCCTTCGGTGTTGAAATATCCTCATAAACTGCAACACTTACCCTATAATCTTGCCAGTCGCACAATAAGTTCTTTCAGTTACCCACTACGTCGAGTGGCTCTTGGACTTGATTCATTTTGATATTATAAAAACAACACACACACACACACACACACACACACACACACACACATATATATATAGATAGATAGATAGATATAGATATAGATATATGTATATATATATATATGTATATGAATATATATGTATATATATATATATATATATATATATATATATATATATATATATATGTATATATATATATATATATATATATATATATATATATATATATATATATATATATTAATATATTCGACACATTCGACACATCCAGATACATATTCTAGCCAACCTACGTTCTTGCATTTTATCAGTTTTCCGTGTAATTATAACATATCTCATCCGCAGTTTTCCTATGAGAAGGCATATATATATATATATATATATATATATATATATATATATATATATATATATATAGAGAGAGAGAGAGAGAGAGAGAGAGAGAGAGCAGAGAGTGAGAAATAATTTGTTATAGGAAAAGAAAGAAAGGATGGAGATTTAATGCAATGATTATATCACGAAGGAATATGAAACGGCGAAACGAATCGGAAATCCCACTGAGGCTGCTAATATTCACTTGGCACGAATGCCCTTCACAAGGGCAACTCCAATGTCGCCCTGTGTCCTATCCCCTCGGTGAATATTTCACTTCATTCCCTTGGCACGGAGATTGAAGGAGAATTTTGTGTGGCATTTTGGCATTTGCTAGTAAATCAATATGTTCGCCTACAAATATAAACAGTAAAAGTCACCTGTTATCGCAATATATATATATATATATATATATATATATATATATATATATATATATATATATATATGAACACCAACAAGTGTGTGTGGGTGTGTGAATTTCGATCGAATACAAAACAAATTTTGATCAGAATCAGGTAGATATATATATATATATATATATATATATATATATATATATATATATATATATATATATGTGTGTGTGTGTGTGTGTGTGAAAAGTGTAAGTATGTATAATTATTTATATATTATATGCGCGGTACTTATTAAAAAGCGCTCAATATCAGAGATAGAGCTAAGATATTTGGTTGGATAGATTTGAGTTTTTGACGATTGCCAGTTTGTCTGACAATCGCTAAAGCGTGAAACCCAGGGTCACAAACTCATATCTATCCAACCAAAATATATATATATATATATATATATATATATATATATATATGTAAATGAGAGAAAGAACAGATGGAGTAAAATCCACTGCTTCTAGCAATTACGTTTTTAACTGCTCAATACAATGTAGAGCAATATATTATTATTTTATTGTTATTATAAAAGGTTTTAATAAAAATATGTATAAACCAAAAAAATAATCATCCATGTATGCTTCTTATAATATGTTGATATATTAGGATCTTGAAATAAACTGGGGAGATAAAAGCAACAAAACTATTAATATTGATAATAAATATTAAATTATATATTAGTAGGCCTTTAAAATCAGAATTTTTCTTTTAATTCTATCCTTTCTCAACAAGACAAAACATAAAAAAAAGTGAAGTGCCTTTGTTTTTTTGCTGTTGTTATTTTCCCATCTTACCGAATAAATTTGATAACTTGATGCTAGTTTTTGTCACGAATTGTACAGGCTTTTTAGAAAGTTTTCTTTGGAAATTTTATTCTTTATGGAAACCTAAATTCCTGTTTAATCAAAGAATTGTTAACGTTATATATGCTAAATGCAGCACCAGGCCGAAATGGAAAAAAGCTGGTCAACACTATCCTATATAATCCGCTTCACGTCTTATTTATTGTGATAGTTTCCTCAATCCCACGGTTCATTTCTTGATCCAACGTTTACCACTATACTAGGTATTATACTAAAGACACCCATGATGGATATTTACAATTATATATATATATATATATATATATATATATATATATATATATATATATATATATGAAAATTTCTCCCCAATTAACCAGTAGAGAAGACAATATTTATGAATAAAAATGACAGTATTCTCCACGCGTGACAAATACTGACGTTATTTCCAGTTAAAAAATGAAAATAGCGTTTCTCTACATTTCAGTTGCCAGGTACATTCTGTTTTTGTTTTTATTAGTTACTTTGTTCAATTAATTTCATTTTCGTATTTTGCTTTGATAAAGTTCACATTGGACGAAACGCGTCAGCAATTACCAGTTTTCCTATTGTCATTTTTATTCATATATATATATATATATATATATATATATATATATATATATATATATATATATGAACTTTATTTTGAAATTATATACAAATTTTCTAAAGTGGGAAGGGATGAAGCTAAAAAAATATCTTTCTTTGTCTGGTTCGTCCAACGCTCAAAAATAGGAGTGACCGCTTTTTCGACTATGAGACTCAAGAAGCTCACCCACAAGTGGCTGGAGGAGGGACAAATCAAAATCGAATCTGAAAATATATAAAGTTGACCCAGTCAAGATAAAATCGAGGATAAAAAAATCTGTGGAGCCTGGGAATCTTGGCAAGGACCATAATAAAAGAAAAAAAACGGGAATGATAGCCAACTCTATTAATTGTACAACAAAAGGTCACTAGCTTAATCAGGGTTGGGATCCGTTCTGAATCGACACTTTTGTGACAGAAGGAAACTACAACTAGGGAATCAATTCTCGTAACTTGCACCAACCTTTTACTGACATCTGCCGAAGGCAAACGCTTTCTATTAGTTGTAATCTTCATCCTGAGCTGATGGCCAAAGAATTCAATCAGATCCTGATCAAAAT